AAACATTCAGCAGTCTGGAGTCATATAGTTTCTTCTTGGTACACGACCAAGGAAAAGGAAAAAAACACAAAAAAATCTATACCAGTCGTAGGTCTGCACTTTTTTTATCTCAGTTGAAGAAGACAGCAGGTTGAAGCTTGTTCGATCTGCTCACAGGCCTAGCAGAACCGCTCTGATACCATATTAACAGCCGAACAGAGGAGAAGAGAAGAGGAAGAGAGGAGAGAAGAGAAGAGAGAGATTTGGAGTCTGCTACATGCTTAAAGGCTAACAAAAGATACTTATGTGGCTTCAAATGCCAAAAGCAAAGGAAGTTGAGGAGAAGAAAATTGAGCAACAAGCAAAAAGGGAAGAAAGAAAGATGGGTTTGGGAGATTTTCAAGTATGTTTAGAATGGGAAGAAGACTGGTTCGAACAAAGATTGTATGTTGGTTTGTCGCGAATTGACTCTGATATTGGTTGTGCCTTGGTTTGTTGCGATCTATGGTGGATGACTTGGTGGTATCCTTAGAAGTAGAGGAAGATAAGGGGTCTGAAGCCGTTTTTGTTCAAGAAGGCGACTGTAACTCTAGCAAGCTGTTTTGTAAGGCCATAGGGGAAGATTGTGAGGAAATGGGGATTGGTTTGAGGGAGGAAGAGGAGGAAGTTGTGAAGGGGATTAAAGAGGGTAAGGTGGAAAGAGTGGTGGAAGAAGGAGAAGTGAGATTGATTGAGAATGCGGTTTGGTCATCTCCTGTGATATCCAAAATGGGATTTAGATATTTCATTACCTTCATTGATGATCATACTCAATATACTTGGATATATTTTCTCTATGAAAAGGCAGATGCCTTTTTTGTGTTTAAACTCTTTCATGCTAAGGTTATCACATAGTTCAATGCTACATTCGTACCTTATGTTTGGATTCAAGGGGAGAGTACATGGATGGGGAGTTTCTTACCTATTTGCAGCATCATGGAATATAGACCTAGAGATCCTGTCCTGGAACTCCTCAACAAAACGGAGTTGCTGAAAGCAAGAATGGCCACATGTTGAGTGTTGTGAGAACCCTCCTTTTGGATTCCCATGCTCCCCCACGTTTTGGATGGAGGCGACCAGCATTTCTGTACATCTTATCAACCTTCTTTTATCCTTTGTTCTTGGTAACCTATCCCCACATCAATCCCTTTTTAAAACACCTCTTGATCTTTCTATGCTTCGTGTGTTCAGAAGTATTTGCTTTGTACACCTCCCTCCTCATGAGCGTACTAAGCTATTTGCTCAGTCTGTGTTATGTGCATTTTTGGGATATAGTTTTGATCATGAGGGATTTATCTACAATGATCCTAAATTCCGTTGGACTAGAATTTCTTAAAATGTAATTTTTCTTAAAAATCTCTATTTCAGCATATTATCAAATTTCCTTCTCCTTTAGTGTCCATTTTGCAATACGTTAAGCCTGCATGTCCTTTAGAAGCACCATCTCTTCTTCAGTTGTTGTGCCAAACTTATTTCCGAAAGTAAGTAGCTGTTCCAGTTCCTACGCTCCTAACCTCTCTGCCTCTTCCAAAGCATGGTTCTTCATCCACTCCAGCTCTTGTAAGTATGCCATCTCCTTTTGTTACAACAACTTCTCCATTTACTGATGTTCTTACCTTACACCGTTCTACTAGAGTTTCCAAACCTCCTAATCGTTGTGGTTTTCCTTCAAACAATAGTTCTTTCTCTACTGTGTTGTCTGTCATAGATATTCCTAGATCCTACCAGCAAGCCATTGCTCACACACATTGGAGAGGTGTCATGGACTTTGAGATTGATCCTCTCTTAGAGAATGATACTTGGGAGTTAGTCTCTCCGCCTGATGCTTTAGTTATTGGAAGTCAGTGGGTGTATTCAGTTAAATTGAAGTTTGATAGTAGCTTGGACAAATATAAGGCTAGATTGGTTGCATAGGTGTACAAGCAAGAGTATGGAATTGAACATGAAGAACATTTGCTATAGTTGCCAAGATGACCACAATTTGTCTTCTCCTTTCTATTTCAGCTATGAAAGGTTGGGTTATCCATAAGATGGATGTCAAAAATGCTTTCCTACATGGATATTTGAAGGAGACAGTTTGTATGAAACCCCCTCCAAGCTACTGTGATGATCCACATCTTGTTTGGCAACTCAAGTCCCTTTATGCTCTCAAACAGGCTTTCTGTGCCTAGTTTGATAGATTTAGATCTATTATTACTGATGCTGGATTCACTCAAAGCTCCTCAGACTACTCTCTTTTCACCTCATAGGGCCCTCAAGGTATCACACTGTTGCTACTTCATGTTGATATTCTCTTCACTGGGATGAGAATTGGAAGTGCACCTTAGTCAATCCTTAGTTAATCCTTCAAAATGAATGATCTTGGACCAGCTACATACTTTCTAGAATTGGAAGTGCACCACAATTCTAGTGGCTACTTTCTTAATCAACAGAAATATGCCATTGACTTGGTCAAGCTTGCTCATCTTATTGACACCAAGACAGTTTATACACCGTTGGAACTCAATTTGAAGTTGAGTAAGGATGACGGTCCACTCTTAGAGGATGCCACTTTCTACCGTCAACTTGTGGGGAGTTTTGTTTACCTCACAATGACTCACCTAGATATCTCTTATGCTTTCCAAATGATCAGCCAGTTTGTTTTGGCTCCTCACCAATCTCATATGACAGCTGTACACCATATCATTCGTTATGCTAGGAAGACTGCTTCTTATGGCGTATTCTTTCCTTCCTCCTCACTTCTTCAGTTGTCAGTCTATGCTGATGCCAACTGGGCTGGTTGTCTAAATACTAGACGGTCCACTACAGGATGGTGAATCTTTATGGGGGAGTCTCTCATCTCCTGGAAATGTAAGAAGCAATAGATAGTTTCTAAATCATCCACAGAGGCAGAATATTGAGCCATGTGCTCAGCATGCAGTGAAATCATTTGGCTTCAATCTCTCCTACACGATCTCCATCTTGATCAGTCATCTCCAGTGCCCCTATTTGCTGACAACCTTAGTGCAATCAAGATTGCTTCCAATTTCGTTTTCCATGAAAGAACGAAGCATATTGAAGTGGATTGTCACTTTATTAGGGATCTTCACACTTTTCGCCGCATCTCACTTCCTCATGTATCTTCCAATCTTCAACTGGTGGACATCCTCACCAAAGCTATGACTAGAGCAAGGTATTCCTTTCTTATGAGCAAACCGATGTTATTCTACATCAACTTTAGGGGGAGTGTAGAGACAGGGACAATGAGGGTTAATTTTGTAAGTTTATTTGTTGTTGTACATATTTCTTTATTCTTTCACTGTCTATTATACATCTTGTATACTAGGGACATATTTGTCCTTTTACTCTTCATTAATATAAATATCTTTCTCTTGGTGTGGTCTATTCAGTTAGACACCACAAATCTGTTCAGTTTATCTGTTTCAAACTGCAGTGACACTTTGAACCTGGGTAAATGATATTATCACTAAACTTTGCATATTTTTTCTCCTTTTACATGACTAATTGGCTACTAAGAATTCAGGTTTCATATTTCTTTTATTTTTTATTTTACAAGTGTTCATCAATACCATTTACCTTATATGGGAATTTTTATTTGGTGGGTTGGGCTCGAGTCTCCTATGGCATGGACCTGGCCAGCCTACTCAGGTATTGGTAATTCAGTATATCTGGATTCAAACAGTTTTCTTTTCTTTTTTCTTTAACTAAGATCTACAGGTTGTCTGGTTGAACTGGTTTTCTGTTTTGGTGACAGTTCATTGGTTTGACTATCTAGAATGGGTCAGACCATTAATCTATTTTGGTCCCTGGATAGGATTATTAAGTTTATTTTAAATATTTTATACCTTTGGTTATTTAGTTCGTACAAAGAAAGAGAGACCAGAGAAGAAGTGGTGGGACCTACCACCATTGCTGTCCTATGTTGCTATCAGTTTTTTTCTTTTTTTTGTCCAATTCATAAGTATGTCCCTCCTCCTTTCTCTATGTTGTTGGCATGCCAACAAAATACCATTGCTCCCATGCTGTTAACTAACTAGATCTCTCTATTTTTTTTCTCTCCCCTTATGCTATTGGCTGGATCTCTTTTTCTCTCTAATTTCTCAGTTTTCTCTCTATTTACTAATTTTTCAATGTTTTTTTAAAGATAGTAGAAAAGCTGAGTTGTTTTTAATGTAAACTTTGTGAAGAAAAGAAGATGCTGAAAGGTTTCAGCTAGAAAGAAAGAAAGAGAAGTAGAAGAGAATGAGAGGTAGCAAAAAAGAATTAGTTCTGGCCGCCCCCTTCCTTTGATTTATATAATTTATAAAAAAGAAGGATTGCACAAATACAAGAATACCCTTAGTAGGTTGGCTACTAGTAAGTAGCTGAAAAGACAAAACTTAAACTAACATAAACTGATAGTTGTTTTTAATGTAAACTTTGTGAAGAAAAGAAGAAGATACTGAAAGGTTTCTGCTAGAAAGAAAGAAAGAGAAGAGAAGTAGAAGAGAATGAGAGGTAGCCAAAAAGAATTGGTTCTGCTGCCCCCTTCCTTTGATTTATATACTTTATAAAAAAAAGAATGTACAAATACAAGAATACCCTTAGTAGGTCGGCTACTAGTAAGTAGTTGAAAAGACATAACTTAAACTAACATAAACTGATGGGCCTAAGGCCCAATAACTTCCTAACTAAATAAAGTAAATAAAAATAAAACAAAGCTGGGCCTAATAACTTAACATCGGCCCAATAACTCAACAAAGATTTCTAAGTTTGGGTGGTCAAACAAACATTTTTTTTATCTGATTAGTATTGAACAATCTGACTGGCTTGGTCAACAGTGGGTTGCAAAAATTAGATCCTATACTATTGGCACCTCTAGCATCTTTGTGTTCATTCATTTATTTGTTTTGGGTATTCAGTATCATTGTGTTTATATGCTTAGGTGATGATTCCCCCTTGCAGTTTCTTTGATTCTCTTACTTCAGATATTTGACTTCTAGGAAGCATTGAAAAGGAGGCTTATTGTGAGAATACAGTATGCAAAGTTTCTTCAAGACACAGTTAAAGAAATGGCCAAGGAAGTCCAGAACTCACGAAGTGGAGAAATTAAGAAAACAGCTGAAGATCTTGATGAATTTTTAAACAAGGTACTTTTTGTTGCTGTATTTTTTAAGTAGTTTCTATTTTTTTCCTTTCTTTTTTCTTTTTTTTTTTTATTTTTTTGAAGCTGGTAGTTCCTTTTCTTCCTTTAGATTGATATTTCTATTTAATATACATTGTTAATTTTTTTATTGAATATGTACTTGTACCTTCAAATAGGTTAGGACTGGAGGTCGTGTTTCTAATGAGGAGATTTTGGGATTTGCTAAATTGTTTAATGATGAGCTTACATTGGATAATGTCAGCAGGTTGGAATTGATATTATTACCTCTATTTTTATAAAAGAAATTACCATTTTGATGCATCTTTGCTCATCTAGCCATTCGCATTGATTTAACATCACTATTTGCATTCAAGGTAACACTGTTGCTTTTAGGTCCCGACTGGTAAACATGTGCAAATATATGGGAATCAACCCTTATGGAACAGATGCATACCTACGTTACATGCTACGTAAGAGACTTCGTTGGTATGATCTATATGTACATTCTAAGTATATTAATTCATTTATTCTCTGATTTCTTTTAATTTTATCATCTTATTATAATTTTAGTGCTTTTACAAATATAAATCTCCATATGTAGTTATACTTTTTTTTTTCTGTTTTGGTTTTGGAGAAAAAGATATTGGATTTGTGATGCAGTACAAGCTAACAAATGAAGGAGGAGAAAAAGATATAAATCTCCAAGGTTTAGTGATTAGGAGAAAGAGGATGCTCAAATTATGACATGGCTATGGAATAATATGGAACCCAAGATAAATGTAAACTTTATGTTCTTAGATACAACCAAGGAAATATGAGATCTTGCTAAGAAACTTTACTCTGGACAAGACAACACTACATGAGTATATTAGCTCTACTAGGAGTTTTTTAGTTTGTAGTAGGGAAATCAGACCCTTGAACAGTACTAATCCAGTATGAGAAATCTTAGGAATGAACTCAATGTCTATCATCCCTTAACTTTAGATGTCAAAATTCAGCAATAAATGAGGGAACAACTTGATGTAACTAGGTTCTTGGTGGGGTTAAAGTCAGAGTTTGAACCAGTCAGAGCACAAATATTGGGTGGATCTTCCCTTCCTACTCTTGAGTAAGTGTTTGCTCGACCCTGTAGGATTTCTCTAGGACCTACAAAGAGTACTACTACTTCTGACAGATCAATGTTTGTTGTAGCAAGAGGGTGCTGTGGGAATAGAGGTGGAGGTCATGGAGTTCAAGGAAGTCGTGGTACCACCATGTTTGATCGTGGTAGTTGAAGTAGTGGAGGTTGTGATTCAGGGGGAGGCCATGGTAGAGGATGAGGTAGCACTCCTAGGAAGTGTTCTTATTGTGGAATGAAGGGACATACAGTTAACTTCTGTTATGATCTACATGGACCACCTTCCACATGGGCTAATCATGCTGTTATTGTTGGTGGTGAAGTGGCTAATAACCAGTAGATTGATCAAACACCCTTACAACAGATACTACTACAAGTGCTCATTCAGGTATGGCTTGTCTGGCATCCAAACCTTCCCATTGGATTATCAATTCTAGAGCCTCTGATCACATGACTAGGACTTCAGGTGTGTTTTCTTCCCTTTCTTAATCCTCCATATCACAAAGTGTTACCTTAGCCAATTGTTCTACCTCTCCTATTTGTGGTGTTGGTAATGTTGATATTGCTTCTCTTTTTTTAAAATCTATTTTATATATATCAAAATTTCCATTCAATCTTATGTCTGCTGGCAAATTAACCAAGTCGGCAAGTCCCTTAATTATTCTATCACTTTTTACCCTTCATCTTGTGTTTTTTGGGATCTTAAGACGGAGGAGAAGATTGGTGGAGGGCATGAAGCTGGTGCATTATATTATCTTTGTAGAGATACAGTGGACCAGACATGATGTTCCTTGTTTATGTGGTCCCATAAGTTTAGTTTTTATTTCTTATTGTAGGTAGCAGGGCATTTTTGTCCTTTTACCTAATGTTATGTTGAACATATAAATAATACTGCCTTGGGCGGCGGTAAATGATTTTTGCCCATCACTCTCTTGCTCTTCCTTTGCTCTCTTTTCTCCTTTCCTTCCTCTTCTCTTCTTCTCTTCTCTCTTTTTCTTCTTTGATTTCTGTCTTGTTTTGTACCCAGAAGTTCTGCTAACAGCAGTAACTTCAAGTTGGTGTTGGAGCAGGTTTAGGTCTGCTCGTAAATCTCATGTAGGCTCTTCCTAACCGGCTACATGAGAGTTTAATAGGGCCGGAGTTCTAGTTCTGTTCGTGGCCTGATTCTTGGAGTTCAAAGCCTTGCCTAGGATGTTTCTGTTCTTGGAGTTTGCCCAGCAGTTAGGAAGAATCAGAGAAAAGTTTTTGAGGTGATGTTTAGGGTTTAAATCTCAGATTGAAGGTGCCGCCCAGAAATTTCTGGGTAGTTTTTCTCCTTAACCCTCCAAAAGACTATTACTGAAGGTTGTTCTTTTCTGAAACCTCTGAGAGGTGCATCTGCTTTTTGGAGTTTACTGGACTGATTAGGGTTTCTGATATTTCTGAGCAATGTGCCCATTTTTCTGAATTTTTTTCTGGACCGAATAGTTGCTTCTCCTTTGTTCTATCTACTTTTGTTTCAAAAGGGGAGCCGAGTGTGGTTATTTTCTTCTTTGTGTTGGTTTCAGCATGGAGTTCTTTGGGGGTGAAAAACCTGCTGGAGAGGGTGCTGAAAGGGCTGTTAGTATGACTGATAACAACCCTTTTCAAGTACCACAATCAGGTTTGATGGTTCTTACTATTTGAAGTGGGCTCAATTTGCCATGATGGCAATTGGAGGAAGGGGAAAGTTAGGCTATGTGATTGGAGACACTAAGGAACCAGCCAAGGATTACTCTTCCTATGCCAAATGGGTTCAAGAAAATTATCTTGTGATGACATGGTTGTGCAATTCGATGCAGCCCCATATTAGCAGAAATTATCATTGGGAAAAGACTGCCAAGGATATTTGGGACAATATGAAAGAGACTTATTCCCAACCACTTGATGTGACTAGGGCTTTTGAGTTGAAAATTGAAGTTAACAATTTGAAGCAGGGGGAGAAACCCGTATCGGTTTATTACTCCACTATGAAATCCCTATGGCATGAGATAGATCATCTTGAAACAATGGAGTGGGAGAGTAATAAAGATGCAACAACCTTTAACAAGTTGGTTGAAAGAAATAGAGTTTTTGAATTTCTTGCGGGTCTGAATTCTGATGTTGACATTGTTAGACAACAATTTCTCACTAGGGAAAATGTTACCTTGTCTCAAGCCTACTCTCTAGTACATAGTGAAGAGAGTACGAGGAAGGTTATGCTTCAAAATTCTCAGATGGAAGTGGCATTAGCAGCTGCAAGACACAAGTATAGTGGTGAGAGGGAGAAAGAGATGAGAATGAAGGAATGAAGGGTGTGTTTTGTGAGTATTGCAAGAAACCTAGGCATACAAAAGACACCTGTTGGAAGCTTCGCCCGAATCTTGTACCGGAAAGACTCAGGAATAAGAAAGGTATTATGATTCGGCCTGCCCTTGAGTTCTATTAGTTTGATAACAGCCAAGAAGAGAGAAGAAGAAAGAAGAAAGAAAGAGAGAGAGAAAGGAAGAGAAAAGGAGAGAAGAAATGTATGGTTTGAATGAGAGAAAAATTACCTCTCCCATTCGGCCAGATATGTTTTATATTAATGGAAAAGACACATGTGCCCCTACTTAAGTGAGGGACACTAGTTCTCACATAATATTACACATCAACAACCTCAACATAAGTATAAAGACAAAAATACCCCTACATACTCGACACTAACACTCCCCCTCAAGCTGGTGAGTATATATCATATAATCCTAGCTTGTTACATATGTAGTCCACTCTTCCCCGACTCAACCCTTTTAGTAAATAAGTCTGCCCACTGGTTCCCTGTGTTAACATATGCAGTGTCTGTCACTCCACTCAGCACCTTCTCTCTCACAAAGTGGTAGTCAACCTCTATGTGCTTGGTTCTTTCATGAAACACCAGATTAGAAGAAATATGAACTACAACCTGATTGTCATAGTAGAGTTTCATTGGAGTGTTAACATTGTATCCTATCTCTTGTAGAAGGTTCCTTAGCCACACTAATTCACAAGTAGTATGTGCCATAGCTCTATATTCTGCCTCTGCACTGCTTCTCGCCACGATTGTTTGCTTTTTACTTTTCCATGTCACCAGATTACCCCTAAGAAAAGTGCAATAACCTGTGGTAGATCTCCCCACTTAGAACCAACAGCCTGCTTCCCAGGAAGAAGAGTGGTGAGGTCCCAAGTATGATTATGAATTAGAGCTGAGAGTTCTTCTTCCATTGCACGACACCATCCTGGAGAGGCAAGGGCTTCCTGGACATCCTTAGGGACAACAACAGAGGATAACAAAGAGATAAACTAGTGATGGGAAGCGAAAATGTGAGTGAGTGAAACATAATTAGAAATAGGATGAAGGGTACAAGTGCGTTTACCTTTCTGCAAGGCAATGGGAAGATCAAGATCAGATACTGGGTTTGTGGCTGGTGTGGGGACAACTGCCGGATCTGTTGATGTTGATGGAGCTGGAGGAGGAGCAGCCGGTACATGTGGGCGATGTGTATACACTTGACGGATAGGTGGCCGTTCAACAGGTGGTGGCACTGGAGGCAAGGACTTGGTCACAGCTGGAACAAGAGGAATAGAATCTGCAACTGGAAGAGGAAGAGGAAGAGGTGATGAGGAGGAAGAAACATCACCGGACCCCAAGAAAAACGGAGTAGACTCAAAGAAGGTAACATTAGCACACACAAAGGAACGTTGAGAACTAGGATGATAACACTTATACCCTTTCTTGGTCCGAGAATAGCCAAGGAAGATGCACTTAATGGATCGTACATCTAACTTGTCCTTCCTAGGGCTCAGGTTATGGACGAAGCAGACACACCCAAAAACCTGAGGAGAAAGAGGAAATGGAGACAAGATGGGAAACAAGGTAGTGAATGGGGAATGACCACCAAGGATAGATGTGGGCATCCAATTAATCAAGAAGCAAGAAGTAAGCACCGCATCACTCCAAAAGGGTTTGGGAACATTCATGTGATGCATGAGGGATCGAGTTGTTTCCAAAAGATGATGATTCTTTCTCTCAGTCACCCCATTTTGTTGTCGGGTGTAGGTACATGAGGTCTGATGTATAATGCCATGTTGGTCCAAGTATTCTTGGAATGATGAAGAGAAATATTCGCGGCCATTATCGGAACGAAAAATTTTAATGTTAACACCAAATTGGTTGCGATTCTTAGCATAAAATTTTTGGAAGATGGTAAACAATTCACTCTCCTATCTGAAATTGTTGTCACTAGTCATGGCATGATTGGCCCAAGTTGAGGGTGGACCATGCAAGTCATAGCAATAATTAATGGTATGTCCATCCATACCACAATGAGTACACTTCCTCGGACCCGAACCACGT